TGATGGTTCATCGTATTTATGCTCTGGCTAGATTGTATATGGATGCGATTAAAACACGGCCAGCGGGGCACTTCGATCGGGGGTACAGGTTATGGTAGTGGTAGCAGCCCGATTCGAAATTGGTTATGGAGGCCGCAGGGTTAGTTAACAGATTCATGGCAAACTCGAAGGTTGCGATGGCCATCTGTTGCTTTTGCAGATTTGCAATAGCAATAACAATAACCGTATGTTACGAAACCTCTGAAAATTTCTAAACTAGGCTATTATAATAATCATCTATAGCGGAACTAAACAGTCGAAACAAGACTGTGGTTTCCATCGGATGACTATATACAGAGTATTGTCCAACTCTCTAGCCAAAACATCCTGCATGTAGCGATAAAGGTCAGTCTTTATTTCCCGTGTCCGTGTGTATATATATATCCACATGGTATCGAAGTAAACGACTATTCCTCCTCCTTCCGCCTTAGTTCTATCTCCTCTCAAAGCCTCGCCGTACGTACCCCTACGTCTACAATGTCACTGCGTGCCTACCCGGCAATTATATTGAGACGTTTCAAAGAAGATTAAATTAGGTCACTTACGCAATAAGCATAACTAAAAATATAAACGTACTAGAGATAGCTTTGATTAGGACGTTTATATGCGATTATCTGGCCAAAGTAACGTTCTTTATACGAATCCATTATTGCTGAGGGCAACGGTGGCCAAAATTTATTATACAATTTTCTGTAATTTTCAAATATTTGCGCAATCAACGTTAGTGGTATGAGCAACGTTTGCTGCTTACTTCTGTTTGGTTTGCGTTGCTTAGAATTAGCTGAGTTAACGACAAAAACAAAGACACAGATTATGAATGCCGGTCGAATTTGCAGGGAACGCCGTGTTCGTCCACCCTCGTACGTACAATCTCTTCAATATGAATGGATCTGAAAAATAATTATTTATAAACTACATAGAGTCAGCAGTAGCTATAGCCGAGTCTACGCTGGCTTATGGACGCAGTAATGAAGGCTTTTGAATTCATTGCTGGCTAGCACAGATGGCAAAATGGCGGACGATCAGTGAAGTCATTCAGAAGCTTTTGGCCAGTGTAGTGTGAGGCTCTGCGCTTCAAAATATTTTCCACTGAAGCTATCAAATTGGCAAACGCAAGCAGAGGGGACCAGCTAGATAGATTCGAACGTTTTTGTTTTGGGTTTATCCTATTGTTTTTCTCTCTCTTTCTTTTTTTTTTTTTTTTCTCTATTGAGCTTACGTTTAGCGCAGACAAACTATCAGGGTAGCAAATTATTGCAGCGTGAAGTCTGGAAGATAACGGCCGAGCATAAATAATAGTAGAACTACTCTAGGAGTAGGAAAATCTCAAAGTTAAACAAATTTAGTGATGACACTGGGTAGCCGTCTAGGCTTCATGATGAGAAGCATCATATATTAAAGAAACAATCGAACAGTTCGCTTAACAAAATCAGTAAGTATAACTGGTGGAACTTTATATTTATTCGCACGTAGGCACAGCCTTAGGCTGTTCTATTGATACAATAATAATTAATAACATATCAGCTTTCTGTAACGCAGTCAAAGGGGAGACGACGAATTTACGCCACTTTGACCACTTACTGGCGAGTTCGTTCGGAATGGGTGTTCTGAACAAGACAAAATGGTGCAGGAAAGTGCCAGGAGAGTCGGGCCAAAGGCCGCTTGTCAGCAATTTAATGTCGCATATGAACCCCACAAACTAGTTTCAAACAATTGTCATAGCAACAACAGTGACCATAACAATAATAGCCACAAAGGCAGTGGCAGTGAGAAACCGCGCACGGCACGACTAAAATTCCCGAATATTATTAACAGCGTGTTATGTGTATGCATAATAAATGCATTGACACCGTAATTACCTAAAGACGTTCAAGGTCGGCAAGGGTGAGCCTGAACAATACTGAGTACTTCCATCCACTTATGTATCGGTATTATGTGTTACTAAGTGGACGGTGATATAAATGATGAACAAAGCTGACGTTGTGCTCTGATTGAGAACTTACTTGAGGCACAACAAATCTTTTGCGCTCACTTACGGACAGCGAAGTTGATGGCGCCCAATTACTATAAACATACTTCTAGTTCGATGGATCGTAAACATGCGTTCGTTCGTGCATGAGATAGCACGAGCATATTGAATAGCACGGCTATCGATTGTTGTTTGCGTCGTTTCCTGGCTTAGTCCTAGTCGGGAGTTTACGTCGGCTGCGGTAGGCGACACCTGTTAGACGAAATGTTAATCAGTAGCATCACAAACATGTATTCTTCGGATAAATTATATCAAAACAGCTGTAGTAGGTTTGAATTGACATTGGATGATACAAGTAGCTATATGTTTCCTTTTCCTGAGATGGGAGTAAAAGAAAATTGATAGATGCACCTAAATCACCATTACGTTTTGGAAAGCAGGTCTCGTCGAAGGTGATATGTACGTTGAAGTGATTCTTACTGGTTGGGTCGTGGCATTGCTTAGAAAATTGCTCACCATGTCGAAATAATAGTTCGGTACGAAACATTAACTACACTAGTAGGAATACAGCATTAAGATAAATAAGAAGAAAAAGAAATGTGTATTTAGTCGTCGTTTTCAGTTCTCTCAAAGCACATATGAATAGTAACTAACGTTGTGAGTATGCGGGATAGCAGATCAATAAGTCGAAACTAAATCAATCACAAAAGCAATGCATGGTGAAGGCTTGCGCCAGTCCCTGATCTTGTTTAGCGGGAGTCTGCTTATCCTATTGCCATTGCTCTGATTCCGTTCTGCTTATAACCATTGAACGTACGCGAATATTATATAGACTTCCCAGCTTGTCTGTATTGAATCAACTAACAATCTTCTCGCAGGAGATTAGGCAAACGCTTCATTAGAAGGCGATAATTGCTCTATCGCTCTGGTGTTTAGGTGTGAAATCGCTACCCCTTCGAGGTCTAAAATCATGTGTTATCAATATCCGACACCAATCTCTTGTGAAGGTCACACAACAGTTGTACATCATCCACTTCAATAAACTTCTCTCAGTGAAATAAAATGTACTTACTAACGGCCCATGATATAGTAAAGTAAAGGTTCGACGTGTGAAATGGTATATCGTGCGTGTAGGAACATCATTTGAAACAGACGATCCAACAGTTCGCCTACATACTTAGGTACCAAATGTGATGACATCTATTTTGTCTGCATTCGTTGGGTTATAGAAGGACGTAGTATACGTGATACCGTAAAGAGATTTCGATAATCTGGGCATGATACCAGGTGTAGGTTGGGCCAGAGCTGCTGCGGTATGAGCCCATAAGTCTTTTGCTGTACGTGTAAATTCACGTGTTCGCTTTGTTTTTTACGAATGTATACATAAGTAGGTAAGTAGGTAGGTAGGTAGGTAGGTAGGTAGGTACAAACGAAGCATGAATAATACATAGAATTAGAAGAAATACACGGTCACTAACCCTAATTAAAAAAGAAAGTTATAAAATTCTAAGTGGCCATGACTCTAATTGATACGTTTTAATTTTGTGCAATTCCAACAATAGATTAGAAATACTTCTACAAAATTTCCCCATAAGTTCACTAGTTCAGAAGTTTCTTGCAAGTAAGTCATTCTAGGTCCAAGTTGTCAATATACATTGGACAATCACGAAGATCTCCAAACAGGCTGACCAACATTAACCTCTGGCGGCAATAACTCGTAAACTACCTATATAAATATCTGTAATCAATTGTCTATTATCTCAGTGGATGGGCATGCCTCATAGTCGATGCAGATTCAGAGAACACGACTGCCGTAAAAATCCACCAGACAAAGTAACAATAATAGTCCTTCGGAAAATTTTACAGCGATCCTTCGTTATCCTTTTTTCGGGGACCTAAGATATTTATGTTATATTTGCAGACGAGGGGAGTAATACCATTATTTTCTGATAGTGAAATCATAAAGCAATCTTCATCTTCAATAACGAAGGCAAGGACGCCCTGTAGGGCACTTTCTTCACCAGATTATTAATAGACAGATCAAGATTAAATATAGTAGTAGTATAGATTTCCATATCATATGGCAACTATGATCGGAATTTACTTGTCACTTAAATATAGCTACGAATCAATACGAACACCGAATATCGACGTCCATACATGTGGTAACAGTATATTGCACCGCTATTTTTACATGTAAGCTAACGACATCGTTGTGACATGGTAAAATTGTTGTACCATTATTAATGGCTCAATAGAATAGCAACGACAATAGTTTAATAAGAGTCAAAAACGTGCAGTTCTAAATCGTACCACATATTAAAAGCTATTGCCGCAGTAGTGGTGTCCATCTTTTGCTGTAGCATCTTGGGTCAGTGGCCAGTTCATGGTGACGAATGTCTCCCGTCAGATATACTGCCTGCCTGAGCGGTGTCCTATTTGCTCGCACAAATCAGGTATTAGCATAGCCAATAAGGACTCAGCGAAGGCCTGCCTAGAGTCAACACCGTGCTGCCTCCCACGTTTAAAGAAAGACTTCTCGTGAGCATGCACAACCAGACGCAATCACGAAACGCGCCACGTAACTGGTAGCAATCTTTCATTATTATTACTCGATTATTTAGAATAATGCCTCTGATTTGCACTCGTAGACTTCTTGCGATAAGTAGCTAGAACTGTAAAATACAGAATATCTCTGCATCTATGTCTTAATTGAAACGTCGTTGCACCTGTATTTTTTACGACTTATTTAAGGCAAAGCGGATTTTTTGAACTATAACATTGTATTTAAATGTGTGTACGTGTGTGTAAGCGGGTTCTGGTAGCAGTCATTTAGTTCTGACACCTATTCAGCAACCCAGAAAAAAACAACGAACATTGTTTCCCATATAAAACATAGATGTATAAAAACAATGCAATATTCTAACATTTCAAAAGTTTTCCCCACAATATAGTCTAGGTAATAGAATTATTTCAACGCCTTAAAGCTTACCTTTGAGCAGAACAGAAGACCCGTTCTTGAACGTATCACATGTGAACGAAGACTTGGTTATGCCCGCGACACTAAATACATTTATGTACACCGAAAAAACACGAACAGACTTAAGTATCAACGACGCTAGTCAGCTGGCAGTTGTCAGCTAAAATTAAAGTAAATAGACTTAATTATGGACGAAGATAATAGTATCCGAAAAGGCACCAGAAGAAGAAGGGACTAATTATCCGGTTTTTCCACCAATAATGAATCAATGTGAATTGGAGTCGGGCGGGAATAAATTCTGTACGAAATGTTGGTGTTTGCTGTACGGGGGGCAAGTTTCTCTCTAGACTTGTCCACTTGTTTCTGCAACGAGCTAGACGAATGCCAGGATTTGCGCCAGATTCTAAAACGAGGGGTTCAATAAGACGGCCCCGGGGTATCCTAAATGTTGTTGTTATCGTAGCTGCTGTTCAAGGCATTGGCCAATCCTAGCAACGCTTGACCATAATAGAAAGCCTTTATTTATCATTTGACTATGCATGCTGCGTTAGTCAACGTATAGCTTCTACTTATTTATTCAATTTATAATGGCCCGAACTTATTCTCGTGATAGGGGTGTTACGTGTTCTTATTATATTGTACTCTTGTCACTTATGCATTTTGTAATCCTCTGTTGTATGAGCACACAATGTCACGTTCTCGGCGCACGAACTACACGCTCAATTTACACACTAGATGTACATATACATGTATATATATATATATATATATATATATATACACGTATGTGGGTACTCATTATTATAGACGGCCAACCATATCTGCTTCTGTCGTCCTATCGTTCTCTGTGACAGGAGTGCCTTTGTTTTCTTCGCCAATCTCATGGAGATACTTCCTCACTGTTGTCAAGGCGTATTACCTATGTCGGAACCAACACCGAGATAGGCCCTACGCTTCACAAGCCATCCATCTTCCGAACACGGTTCAGCCAGTCGAATATAGGTTGCGCGGGTTAGGTCTCGTTAACGTAATGTTCAATATAGGACGATTATACCTTATCTTGTATGTACTTGCGCAAATAGTTTTATGATTTAACTAACGTGGTTAAGAACGAGGGGGCAATAGAGACTATCAGGCGAGCGTGTATTATTTATAATGAAAGATTCTTATCTGGGCTCTCAGACCCCCGATAGAGGTCAAAGGAGATCAGATGATGACGCTCTGGCTGTTGTTATTGCAGGTCGCAAGTAACTATGGTCTCTGCACTTGTGGTTGTAGCAGTTAAACACGTGTTGAAATCGAAAAGTTATTCATTGCTCGATGACTTCATCTCTACAGCGGCCTATTGAAGTACCGATGTCGATGACAAGACTGCGTATTTCTGCGGGCCAAACAAGCAACTGATACGTTAGTTGTTGCTGGCAGCAAAAAACAAAAGACTGACGACGAGGCAGTTTGTCAGTGTCGGGTCAGTGTGATAGCCGCTGGTTAGAGAGTCGACTTCTGTGTTGTTTTTAATCTAGGATTGTATTTGACGGAGAAGCTAGCAAGGAACAATGACCCTGGAAGGCTAACAGATACGATATCGTCTAGAGATGTAGTTACAAGATTCAAGTCAGTATAATCTTCACCATTCTTAGCGGCCTCACACATTCTGCTTTGGAACCACCGTCACCTTAACCTCCGTCAAACACTCCTGCCTAGCTAACAACATTCGTGCGTATAATATCCAATAGCAGTTCTGCGAAATTAAGCCGTACGGACAGCTTTACGTACTAGCTGGACACATAAAAGAGTTTGGCTTCATTCGTATTAAACATATTGTTATACTCCTACATAGTAAAGTAGCACGTTGACTGTACAATATCTCCCCACCTTAGCAACTGAGCATGTCCGCGCAGTGTTAACGAGCCGAACACCACTCTACTACACGTCTGCGAACGTTCCCCGTTGCTCTGAGGGCAGATTTCTTTCCGGAGACACTGATTAACCAGCCGACTAAGCACTTAAAAAATCACTGATTATCGATCAACGTCGGGTATATCTACTATATATACATATCAGTAAATGATCCGAATCCGAGGCTGGGATCAGCTACGCAAAATGACAATATGACGGGTATCCACCATCAGCACTGCTACTACTACAGGATCAACGGCAGTCTTACACCAGCTTTCTGTGCTACTGGCTGGCTGGCTGGCTGGCTGACTGACTGCCTTTCCGCCTGTTCCACTATGGTTTGCTGCGCGAACGAAAAACTGAGCTGCTCCTGTCGTCTGCCCCGCGCGTGGAGAGGGTTTCAAAAGAGTATGAAGGGAAGGGGCCGCAGCATGAAGGAGCACAGCACACTACGGCGGCGGCGCACCGCCATTGAATAGATTGTAGAGGAGTGCCTGTGTAGGCAGCGCAGTGGAGGCGGCTGTAGCTGCATCGGGCGCACCGCTACTTCTCTATAGTACCAACACCAGCTCAGTGGAGAGGGAGAGCAATGGTGCGAAGACTGGAGCAGCCGTCAATAGAGTGGATGAGGACGGTCGGACATAGATCTAGGAGCGCGGGAAATTCGAGTTCGATTAAGAGAAGCAGTTGGATGATAAAAGCGTGTCAGAGGTGTAATGTAAGCATGCGTTCTTCGAGTAGATAGGTAGATACGTATATGTAGCAAAAAGCAGTTGTCGTGTGGAAAGGGTCTTGTACTGGCAGCAGGCACTATGTTTAGAGATAGAGAGACAGGTCGGTCGGGGTACGACACAGAGATAATGCTGGTAGCGAAACGGTGGTAAGTAACAAATGCAATGAGAATCAAAACGATGTCCAGTGGAAGTCTATCAGTGACTGGTAATTAGATGTTGCTCAGCCAAAGGAGAGAAGTACACAGGATCGAAATTGATAGCGTCATAGAGGATTTATAAAGGCGATGTGGTTAATTGTGAATGAGAAAACAAAGAAAAGCATAAACTACTTCGTATCATAGATGGAACTCATAAACAAGCTATCTATTTATTAAGCTAATACTGTATATGTAGCATGGAAGTACGTGAAGGTTTAGATTTTTCCTAAAGGCAAACCTTTGTTATAGAATAAAAAAAAAGGAACACAAGAAGAGTCAAAGGCTAACTGGCCCAAAAGTGGTTTCGTTTTTAATCCTGAATCTGCTCGATTTTGTCTCATAATATATACTGCTGACCAATCGAAAAGCCGTATAATTTTATAGATGGTAGGGAAAAAAAATGTCTGACTCCTGAAAGCTCCTTGCATCCTGTGTTCGTACAGTACAATTTCATTGATAGACAGCTGCTATCAGCAAAATTTTCAGTCATTGTCCCTGGCATTGACAGCATTTCCACCAAATGCGGAACTCTAAGCCAAAGTAAGCTTTTTTTTTGTATAATAGTTCCAAAAGGTATTGATTGACTAATAGTTTTAGATACGCTTAAAGAAGAGCAGTGTACTTTCTTTTGATTTACGTAAAGTTTTACTGATTAGTGAACTGCTGCTGAAACTATTATATCTTTCAGATATAATTAAGACACACCAATAACACAAAGTCAATGTAAAGTAAACATTTGGTAGGTGTAAATAACAGCCCATAGATAGCAAACAAATGTGTTTTTATTATTATTATTACTACTACTACTACATTACGTCATACGTACAAAACGTGATGTTTATCTTTTGCTCGCACGCCAGTAATTACGTTTTTCTATGATTAATGTTGGCGGCTCTAAACAAAGATGATTGATTGCGTGAAGCTTCTTCGACACTTCTTGGCGAGCGAAGATTTCACGAGTGTTATGATCGCGGCGCAGCAGAAAATGATGGATGAAGGATGCCTGATAGTGATAATAATTAAATCGATTAATTTTCTGTGAAAAACAACCCATTTCGTGTGCCTATGGCACATCTCGATGCTCTGCATTGAGCTTCAACCAAGGTCATCTTATAGTTAGTTCTGCGATACTCATGAAAAGTGCCAACTATATGGTACGCAATTTCTAGCCGTCTGATTCAAACCTACAGAAAGCGTACGATTTCTCAACTGTGAATGATCGTTTAGAGTAGTATGAAGTTGTATAGTGCATTGATTCAAATAAACTTGTCGCGTTCCTGAATTAATTTTCGGGTTTGTTTATTTCAAGTTGAGAAGACTTTGAAGAGATAACCAAGCAATCGGTGGCATGCACCAGAAAAAATGACCATTTCACTAATAGTTAATCATAATGATTATGTTGCCAGTTGGGTTCATTCGACTGTAGTGTGGAAATCTTAGCGGGTTAACGGACGGCCCAAAAGTGACTGCCGCTTGCGCCAAACTTTTGGCAGTTTCTTACACTGCCCAGGCCATTTCCTGAAAATAACATAGATCCCATTCCACAACTAAAGGTATTAGTTAGCTACTGGATTTGTCTTACTCACTCATTAAGCATTTGTAGGTACATGGTAAACAACACCGTTCTCGATTGGTAGGGATGTGTGTGTCATCGATAAAAATGTATCCTAAGCAGCTGCGGTAATCTTGGACCTATCAAGCCGTTGCGTCATAGTTAAACGGTAAATGTAACGTTGGCTGAAAGTCAATACGTACGCCACGTCACATACAGAATACTGCTTAGCTTTCACTGAAATTTGTCTCAGACGTACATGGATTACGTCAATCCGTTTACAAACGTCTAATAAATGTTCTGAACTGGGAGACATTATTATAGGTATGTATGGAATTACACAGCTGAAATTTCTCTAAGAAAATCAGCTTCATTGGCAGTTAAATCTCTTTCTTACTTTCCTGCATTCATCAGAATTTCACATGCGTCCATTTTCTATTCTGTGCTTCATTCGTTTATTGAAACAGTTATAAATCATAGATTTGTTTGAATTAAACATCACACATTGTTCAGCATGGCATATTTTACTCACCACCGCCATATATATATATATATATACTGGATCACTTATTGGGGCGCCTTAACTATATATAGAGTGCGCCCAATGCTCTCGTCTTTCTAACAATGTCTGGTTATTCGACAGGGAAAATAATAATAGTTCAAAAATATTCGAAACGCAACAGATCCAAGCAGTAAAAGACGGACATGTGATCATTGTTGTAAATATTTATCAACGGCAGAAGTGGCAGAAGCGACAATACTTCGTATAGGCGAAGACAAAGCCTCGTCGCGTCAGCGTCAGGCAAACGCTGTCCATCGAACTACAGTTGATCCAACAACAGATAACCGTCCCTGTTATTGTAGCCCAAACCAACTTCTCGGATCTAGATAGCCGCTACATCTGCGCTGCCGGAGCACTATATCGCCGGGTTGTAATAGAACCCATTGTATAGACATAATTGTGGCAGCGATATTAATGGCTGGCGGTACCGCGAATCGACCATAAAGCACTGAAGATTTTATTGTGATGTTTTTTTAGCTAGCTCATCGACTGTCAACCTACGGAGGTAAATTCTCTACTATTTTAGTACGAGACCTTTTACGCCCTGAAGAGTCGGTTTATGCTGTGCGCGTATCGAATCATACTTCGGTACCGTGAGCAAAACTGTTCTCATCACACTTCAAAATGTTAGCGGGATTCGATTAGCAGGACGGACGCTCTGAGCGACAGAATCAATAAAAACGAAAAGTCTGATTATACTATGATAATCGTATCGGAGGTCCATTAAGAAAACGGCTGTATAGAAACTATTTAGTCTATAGATTTTGATCGATTTGTACGATTTTTCTAGAATTTATTTACATGTCAATATTCTATGCCAACAGAGAATTCCTGTCAAAGATCGGCCATTATAAATGTCAACACAGAGTAATTTGTTGTATTTGGAGTCTCTACATAAACGCGGCCAACTAAATAATTAGTTACTTAAAGAATCTACCGCACATCCAACTACAAGCAATGGAACTGGGATATGCGTTTTTTTTTTCTTATATGTGAGCCTTGTCTACCAGCTTCCTCACACCATACGCCTTAGCCTAAATCCAGATAAGAGGTAACGGAACGTTTCGTTTTAATAGCATCATGAACTAAGCAAAATGGCCTAGATGTCTCAGCCGAACCAGCAAAACAATCGGTTTCCATAAATAATAATATATGCTATGGATAATGGACTATAGACGTGTCTACGTGAAAGAGCATATGTCGAGAGACATGCGGCTGGTTATGAGTAGTCAGTGGCAGCAGTTGTTCTTTAAGTTACTGTTCTTTAGTCGAACAACAACAGCAAGGACAAGACGCCTATACAGGTAAGAGGTCGGCAGAGAACGGCCGCCGCCAGGTGCACGCCACGTGACGTGACAGATAGATAACGCGCGAATACTGCAACCTACATACAAGTCATGCCTGAGGCTACGAATCCATGCAGCAATGCACATATATACATGCATATGTATATGTACATCTATCGAGTTTTCCATGGATAGTCTGTGCCAAATGGCGAACAGACAGACAACCATAACATGAACGTCAGCTCAAACCGATACGCGTAACAGGCTATTACTCCTACTGCTAATAGAGTTTGCGGGTAACGGACAAACGGACAAAGCCACAGGACGTTAACTCATGGAGACAAAGCAAAAACTAACATCGAATGAAGCTTAGGCCTTGGGCAGTCTTCGAACGAAGGCGAACACAGAAGAAAGTGTCTTTTCGATTCATTGATTTTGTGCTTGATCCTGTCAAAATGGTCAGCAGGGCGGCTGCAGGAACGGCATACTTCAAGCGAACAGCTCTCGTTGTCGTTGTGGTCACGCTGGCGGTGGCATCTCCCGTGTGTTATGGTGAGTTCGGAAACCATTATTATGAGCGAACGAGCTTCCGTAAAGTGAAATTGCATTAGAAACATGTGTGGGTGGCTGAAAGCTGCTTAAAAGTACTCAGCGATTCGATAATACCGTTAAGCAATTAGATGTATGGCCAGGCTACATCTATAAAGATATTAAGTAAAAGGCGTGAGTTGAAAACGTTATGTAATATTCTTTAGATATTCTTTAAGAGCTATAGTTCTAGCCGACGTATTTGTAATTAACGTAATAGTACGAATCCGCTAATGAAGTCGAGCGTAACACTTGAAATATTGCGTATCGAATTGGCAATATAGCTGTTTGTAAAGTCATCGTTTGTGAAGTATAGCAAATATAAAAAAGGCTTATGCGGACCTGCGTAATGCTGTTCCAATCGTACTTAATAAGAAGATCCATGTTGTGTCGTATTTACTTATTGTGTTAAGTTGCGATCTTTCAGGTATACTGCAGCTGGCAATTCGAGATATTGTTATCAACACTGTTTGTATGTTTTTACTTATTCACCTTTGGTGGAGTTGTCAAAAACCTTGTAAGGAAACCCATAAATACCAATATTACATGTCACCCAGCTCAACGACACAATGTCCCAGTATCACCTAAGGTATATAGAATCATTTAAAACGGTCTGGGTCATATGGGTCACACGAGTTTTGTTGAGTTTATAAAATTAATCTGAGAGATTTGCCAGATGTCCTAGAGACGGTGCTGAAGGCAATGAGCGGCATTATATCTATTACAATTTTCTCCGCATCTGAAGCACTTAAATGTATCGGAACGCTTGTGGACACCTGGTTTCCTGCGCTGTCTATGGTGGCACTCATGCACGGCAAAGCAAATAACATGCCTGTTTAGCTCGTTCGGCCCTTTCCATTCGTTGTTTCAATCAATCAGTTGCCGCAAATTTTTGGTCACACCTTCTAAGATTCGACTTGAAGGGTTACGTTGCCGGAAGCTCAAAACGATGGTTTTCAGACAGCAGTGCCGAGTTGGTTTGGAAATAGGCGAGGAACTTCAGGATCACTATTCGTAGTTTCATTTTGAGAAAGGACGCTTTCACGCGATGCAATTATCTGAGGTTCTCTACCGTAAGATCTTTCCAAATAACACCTACTCCGTGAATTGCAATCGGAGCTATGAAATCCAACAAGCTGAAGAGTGGTGACGACGGGTCTGCGAACTGATCGCACTTGCGGCCAGCACCGGTTTCGTGCGTTCTTCGGTGACCTGCATAGCGAAATTTCTTCCGTTCGCAGAGAAGAGCAACCATAAGTACGGAATCCGGTTTACATAGCAACCTGGCGATGTACAAGGCATAAGTGGCCGCTGTTCTTTTCCCTTCTAAGCTTCATCACCTCCATCTTGATCAAATTACGGTCAGCTCCAAGTTTGCAACCAACACTTGGAACCTGTTCGACCCATATATCACTAAGTCTTTTGCACACAGGATGACTTCGACTAATTTACTCGGCCCGCCTGTTGGACCAGGGAGGTCCTTCACCAAGATGGAGAATAAGGATGGGCTTAAGTTGTCTTTCTGAGTAAAGCTTGTCGTCTGTGTGAAGAGCGGGGGTTCGGCCACTTCGTCGTTGACGGTTATTCTGTTCTCCAGTAGAATCCAGCACGTTCATAGTAACGCCCACCTCGACTAGCATGAACATAATCTTATCCAGAGACTGGTTTAAAGTCGACCAAAACCCCGTATAACGCACTGTGTAACGTGGCCAGTACTTTCTTGGCATCGGCTTCAAGGTTCTACACATCGTTTCTGTGGAGTGTTTTTGCCTGAATTCACATTGCTCCGTCCGAATGGCGTCTATGCTTTCTAGACAGATGTTCAGTTTCTTAGTCAGGAAGCTATAGAACAGCGTATAACAAACACTTCTTTTCACTAAGTTCCTCCATGATGACGGCGCGATTCGGTTGTTCTTTTCTTTAAGAATCAGTAACAGGGTAGTGTCTTTCCACTGAACTCGAAATGTACCAATGTGCAAAGAGTTTGTGAATTAAGCACGGTGCCAAAACGAAAGCGCATTCAAGACACTCACTGCAGACGATCTAAACCGGCGGCCTTCTTATTGCGTTGGCGCGTAAAACCTTGCATTAGTTCCCGCACTATGAAGTCTCGTTGAAGGATATGGCATTATATTGAGATTTCCTCTCTTTGTAGCAAATGTAGAACAAAAAGAAATCGCGGCCGAAAAGGGCAGCGCGCGTGGTACCGTATCTGTTGACCCAAACATCTATGAGAAGTGACTTTTGAGGATCCAGATGCTAACCGGGCAAGTCGCTGAACTGTCATGATGCATCAGCTACTTGTATGATTGACGTCCTGCATCGGCAATCAAATAGGCGTCCATCCGTTGAAGGTATTGTTATATCATATGATGCATACGTTTTTCGATAGATCACTTTAAAAACGAAGGCTAAAAGCTAGAACTCAGGCTGTGCCTCGGACATAAGACTGAAGACCATCTGGGCCTTTTGGACAAGGCTGCAAGTATAGTTAGGCGACAACCCATGCTCCGGGGAAGAGATGGGCTGTACTGATGGCCGGATGCCACGCGTAAGTTTCGACATTCATTGCATCAGGTACTGGTGCATTCTAAGAACTTGTTTACATCTGCGCTCACGATAGAGCTTGGTGTTTGACAGTCCGTGCAGATGCAGCTTGGACAGTAGGATCTATCTTCACTATTACGTGGGCACAAACGTTTGGGCCTTCTGACAGGGACTGAATTTCATCCTGAAAATTTACCCCATCCCTGGTTACGTTCGTTGCAAATACATTGATGATCGAACGTGTCCTATGAAAGTTGTGGGACTGATTTCTCAGCATCAGCAAAGTCTGCGAGCGTGTCTAGAACAGCCATAGTGCGGCTCAAGTTTGGCTGGTCAAGGTGGGCATTGAAATCTCTGGCAACGACCAGAGGAGGGACAGAATGGGAAGAAAGCGCCTCCAGCGCACTGACGAGTTTCTCCCCCAATATGTGCGCTGATGCCAAATCAGCCGGCCGAGCATTGGCTGCTACGAGATTTAGTCGAGGCCACGTAAAGCAATGACGTTACTGTGCACTAGGTACGACATCAGCCATCTTACAACTGCAGGGAATGGAAATTTGACAACTACTCAGGCAGCCTGGTCCGTTGCTTTCCATTGCAGAGTTGCGCACAGAATAGAAAGGCGGCAAGCTAAAGGGGCTAGTCACCCTAGTCTCCGTTGGCATAACGATGTTTATACTGTCCAGTGCTTCACGAAAAGAGGAGCGCTAGGGCTCTTCACAGTTCCACTATATAATTCTTAGGGTTCTTTTATGGCCTAGCCTTGTTGTAAGCTCTATGATCTACCCAGCGAACGGCTGCGATGATGTCGCGTACAGGAGTCAGTTTTCGTGTTGTCAATGCTGCCAAAATCTGCTTTACGAAGTACACGAGGGTTAGGATTGGTGGGACGAGCGGTTGGCCGTAGTCCAACCGTTCGGATTAGTGCTTGATGACTTGCCTTTTGAAGCTGACCTGGCCGCTGGAGCGTTCGATTGAGTCCGGTTGAACTGACTAGCTTTGCTGTTCAAGCCCTTTCGTATTGTTACCATCGACGGCTTAGGTGGACATCGTCTGGCATGTAACTTTCTCTTCTTATGCCTCAAGAGGCCTCATCCTTCTGGCAATGATGTAGGTAATCTTTCTTCATCTTTATAGCTGTACCATTTACTCTTGACGACTAGGAGTGAAGAATGGGAGAGCCGAAAACTTCTAATTTTCCTGGCTCGTTTTTTTCCGCAGTAATATAGCTTACCACTTTTGCAGTGCTGGCTGAAGAAGAGAGCGGAGAACACATGAACTTCCGATCCCAAGCACGACATGATTAATACCTCCGAAAAGCTGGCCACTTTGCTAATTTTCAAATTTGATGGTAACCAGCCTGTAAAAATGCCACAACTAATCCATCGGTTTCGTTAACTCCGTAATACTTCTCTGTTTTATATAAGTCACTGTCGATGATTGTTTTCAGCTCCGCACGAATAATTCATTGTTTTTCCTTAGCATTTCTCTCAGCCCGAGACCGACACAATCTTGCCGCCCATCACTGTTGATGTTCTTTGTAGCGGATAAGGGGTCAGCCGTCCGAAGGACTCTCAGAGATGTCTCACACTTCACGATCGATCATGGTCAATGCAGCCATATTTTCTTTTGTTTCGCTTTTAACTTTGACATTTGCTTTTCCAGATTATCGTTATCATATCAATATAAATGCAAACAAATGAACAATCTCTTGTCGTCATTTTCAAGTAACGTTCACGACTCGGTTCTAATAAAAAAGAAATCACTCTAAGTATAAAAAGCCGATTTCAAACCGCAGCGTCCATTTTGGAGTAACACAAATTAGCTAGCCTCATACCGGCATCGTGATATAATTACCTTAGACATGTTCTTCCAGACGGGACTCTTTAATAGAGCAATGATCAAGTTGCAATTACCCGTATTCATATATAAAGTATTACTTCCAGGGCAGTATCGCGAAGCGATCATATTGGCCTCTAACGCTGCGAGTGTCTTCAATGAACTTGTTTCTGAAGTTGTCAAAGAAGAAGTCGGAACGTTTATTCGAACGGCGTACAAGGACGGTTGTCTCGACGCCGGTTGCTGCATGGGATTTCAAACTCAGGTTCGAGACGAAACGCCAAAAGTGAGCCGGCTAAAATAAGATTAAAAAGCTAGTTACATTAGCTGACAACAGTTTTTATTCGTGTATGTAAAAGCGTACGCATCGAACTCAATATACATACTCTTTTGAAATTCACTTTGTGTCTTGTCCATTATTTTAGATTATGCCACTAAAGATAACTTATCTTCTAATGGCAGAACTTTTATCCCTAACTGGCGTTTCATTTAATTCACTACATAATAGGCTGTGTTTTCGACACGAAATATTCCAGGTACGTCACAACGTCGACTGTCCATCATGGGGATGGCTGAAATGGTCCTTTAATGGTCCCATGTTGGTATCCCATCGGCCGTTGTTTCATTCTTGCATGGACTGTCAATATGGTGAACCAGATTGCCTCATAACGACAGCCTCTTGTAAAGGAAAACATACGCAATTTTGGTAAGCGTGATTACATTATCCTATGCTAATGAGCGCAGTACAAGGGTATGTTTATGCTCTTGGCCTAATGTCTTTATTCTAACGATAGAACTATCGGTATATGGCAGTTGCTTTGTACTATTCTATTGCCATTGACGATAGCGTGTTTTTAAGGCTTTGCTAGTTTCTCTCTTGAAATACCTGTGGCACATTTTCGTGTTATTTTGCCATCTTTAATTTCGGGCAAACAATATGGAAAGGGAATAGAAACCTTTCGATCTTATACTTATCTCCTGATCAATGGCCTCACCGCAACTGCTGCCCACAACGAAAGACTTTTTCGGTAAAAGTGAGACATTCGGCTTGTCTACCATGCTAGTTCACAAAAGATTTTTTACAGTTATGATGCGACGCATACATAACGTTTATGACATAGGAAATTGAGTTGTTTTTTTCCACTTTTGTACTCCAGAAGTAGTGATAATAATGGCGGCGTTTAAGCACTGATAAATGCCGTTCCTTCCGCGTATCCTCTGAATCCACACAATATCATCTTCAGCAAACGTTTAGTACTTCTCCAGCCGTATATTAGGTTCCGTGCTTTCCACCTACAGAAGAGAAAATATAAATGATCGTATAAATGCCGTGTACTCCATCGCATTGTACTGACATACAGAATCATCGATCCTATGTTACGTGCACTAGCAACTAGTGAGCTATAGAAAACTCCGTTAATATAGTTAAAAGAGGCACAAAGGAAACGGCTGTATGTTAAATCCTCTATATATTAGATTTGGAAATGATCATTGATCTTGGATGATCGTTTTACGCTAACGCATACGTTACGAAGAGCTCTGGTAGATTGTCAGTCCAACAAACGTTGAAGGATTGAAAGCTCAAGAAAGTCGCAGCGTACAGAATTTCGAGATTCGAAATATCTCGTCAAATTTGATGCTTTTCCAGCTGCCAATGGTTAGCACCATATTAAGGTATAATATATGCTTACCAACACTACTTTTTTTTGCAGCCGTGGGCAAAATAGATGTGAAGTTGGGTTAATTAGGCGGGCAGAGTTTTTACATCTGTTAGTTATACAGTGAGAAGGTGGAATCTCCGCTTGCTGTTTCATTTGAACGACGCCGACGCCGTTAATTGAATCTAAACTTCAAAGAGTAGTGATCAGAGGGAGGGACTTTCACAGGGTTGGTCGACTTTAGTCTGATTTAGCATGCGCGCAAATAATGTTTATTCTGCGAACCTGAGCTGTTATCCGTGCCGATCATTTGCTCAGAGTCGGTAGCCGTGACAGGTAGTTTGATTTATAGATGTTGAGTAGATACACATAGGAATTAAGGAGTTCCAAATGCAAAGTTCGGTTGAACTTGAAAATAGTCCACTATTGAACTTACCAGGATTTCCCATCATCACAAACCACGACGAGGCATCTATTATTAATCCTTGTTTTAAAACGATATTTAATACTTTTCTTTTTCTAACTAAATAACAGCTATACGCTCTCATTTAGTTAAATTGTAAATTGATTTATTTCTTTGTGTACGGGGACATTTTGCTCGTGATGCAGCTGTTAGCTGGAAAAGTCACCCTTTACTGGGGTTACATGGAGATGGCTTCACCTCATGTGTTTCGTTTTCGTCACAGGTTTATGGATGCATCAAAACAAAAGAAAAACGCCCTCGGTGAGGCCCTGTTTACGATCGTCAACCCCATGTATCCTGATAGGTGTATTACTGTCGACACGGTAATCATATTTTATCATATAGTAATTATAATAATGAGCGTCAACGTCCTATTACTAAATTCAATTAATTAGTCAACGACGAGGTTACATTACAGAAATTATCCTTAGATACCGTGTTCTTGTTAACCGTCGATATCAGTTTTGCGGTTGTCCCTATAAAATTTCAGTATATCCAAGCTCAACAATGTCAATGATCAAGAGTTGTCTAAAAAGTACCAAACAACAAACTTGAAGTTATCGTATAATCCGCAAGCCCTTATCTTTAGGCTCTGGGGGTTTTAGGGGTAAAAGGAAGAATGAAAATAATAACATCTCTGGTAGTCTCTATATTAGCGAGCTATAATTATCTGTGCGTTAACATTTATACTATTATGAACTCATACGAGCTCCGTTAGTTAGAAGCATACTTAAAAATCGGAAATCAATTTTAATTTGAGAGTAACTGTAGAGCTCATTAATTGAACTTTGGTGAACTTACTCTTCACTATCTGCTGTTTGTTGGCAGTTTCTCATTTGCTTGCTATGGACTTAGTCAACTTTCACTTGCGTTATCTAGGTATCTTCAAGTTTACACCTGCGCCCATGCGAAGAGCCAACGGAAACGCAGCTGTTCTACGTGTCTCGCAACTGGATCACGGAAGTGAAGAGGCTTCGGAGAGACAGTGACCGATCATTGTAAACATCAGAGTTCATCAAATAAAGATGTGAAATTTCGAAAGCGAAGAAAATTGTAAAGAGTTTATCAGACAATGTAACGAGACTAACAACAAAATGGTAAAAAAACCTAGACTGTCAGTAGTAACAGGAAGGAGCATCCCCATCGAGGAATCGAGTAAGTAGACTAACTGGTACGTGTCAGGTCAGCCAACGATTTCTCAATTTAGATGTATTTGCCAAAACAGCTCTTTGAAGAAGATGCAATGCCTTTTACAATGCTCCGAGCAAAATGAGTGCTTTGCGATCTATAGCACACCTTAAGGAAATTATTTTTGACCAGCACCTTGTAAACTGTTTGTGCATAGTAGCTCTTTTTATTTATGAATATAAACTTAGATAACGCAATGGTGTCACCAGTCGCTTTGTTTGTACATGTTTATGATTATACCACCACGTAGAAAGAATAATAGACGAAAATAACCGAATTGTGAGACGGACCAGAAATAAATATAATTCCTACAAAATGTATCATCATGTGTGCTTGCGTTAGAGAATGTACGTAACGTCATTTAGCTCAGAGCTCTTCGATCAGGACTTTTCGAACGGCAAAGGCAAAATTACTATATAACATCTAAGGGTGAATTCATCGCATAGGTTATTTAGTCTAAGAATTAGCAAATATTTATTGAAAAGGAAAAATCCTTTTTTTTTTTACTGCAAAACAAAAAAAACTGTTCTATTTAGAATAATATATCCTCTTTTAGCATGTAAATCGTATACAATTTGTAAGCGATCTGTTTCAACAGAAGTGAGAAAAACAAACGCTTATATATTCGATTAGTAGAAAATCGATTAGTGCTACCTATCCGGTAACATGTTGTTCTCCGTATAATATTCTTGTTCTTCCCATAAAAGAGGCTCGCACTCGTACAGACTGCTCAAAATCTAACGTGGTTACCTATATAATACGTGGACTAATACAGTTTAGCATACGTTAGTCTCTATATTAAATAATCTTTTCGACATAGTCACTCACCCCTTATTGTTAGCACCAGTAGCGTCGCACCACAGTCGCAACTGCCTCTCACTGCCGCTGCCACCACCACCATCAACATCATTCATTTCTTTAGCTGCTCCCCACCAAATGCGCCTTCTCCCCACGTTGGCCACACTTTTATCAAGTCGTTCAAAGAGCGTGTACGTACGCGGCTCTTGCTTCAGCCACTGTTGGTACCATTATTTGCGACCTTCGTTCGCTTTCGTTATTGGCTGGCCGATTTAGCATTTCTCACCTGTGTTTCGATGGCAACCTCCAGTCAGCACCGATCGCCTGAGCAGAACCAATATCGACTAGGCACAGTGGCTAAATAGCCTATGCGAATAGATATGCAATTCGGCTGTGTGTTTGCCTGTTTATCGACCTTATCTTGCGTCTTGTTAACCTTCTCAGCCTATATCTAGCTTATCGTTATGGACATCTATCTTTCTCAGCGTTCCGGTCCTCTATCTTTCTCGACTGAAGCTGCGTCTATTCTGTTCCATTCCTCTCGTGCCCTTGTCGCTTGTAGAAAATGTGGGACATTCACGCTCTCTGTCGGCCGCTGACTTCATAGGGAGAAGAAACTCTCTGGAGTTCACTTTCTCCGACAGCGTAGGCGACCGACACCCCGCAGAGCCTCGCCCATGGAAAGATGACTGGTCATTCAGCTGTGCTGATGTCCCTGGCCTCTCGCGTCACCAGCCGTTGATATATCCGCCACTAGCGTGAGCGTCACCACCATCATCATCGTTGTTATTGTTGTCGACGTCATGAGGCTCAGCAACATCAATGACACTTGCCTAATTCACTTGGATCTCTCAGCGATCCAGGCGCGCATTAGACGTGGAGCATGTGAGCGCGTTTCATATGAGGTCATTTCTGATATAGTTCAGGGAAAGATTGATGTTAGGTGTGGCCCATTTTTTTAGGCCGAATTACTAGCACATTAAATTCCTACTAGTCTTACCAACTGGTTACCAAAATATAAGTAACTTATGATTATTTTAATAACCGTATTTCAGATCGTTTTCTCGTATTCTCGAACCCATATATAAGGTAATACAGAGGCAGTATTTGTGGTAACAGTAGAAATACTTGTTTTGGCCAAGGTTGTATTAAGCAGTAGCAGAACTCGGTAGGTTAGAGAAATTGCTCAAAAACCAAGGAATAAAACATCTATTGTAGGACCACCAACTCGCCATAGCCAACTGGTCTTTCGCTCTTGTCTGCCTTCAGAAACGTTGAAGCCGGAGGGAAGTGTTGTCAGCAGACGGGGACTTGAAGGTGGTCAAAAACTGAATGGTAGATGGTAGTTCGCGGTCGCTGGTCTCGCTCGGGCTGCCTCGTGTGGCCAGCCATCTACACTGAGGCAGTTTCTTAGCGTGGGACAGAAGGCAGAAAGCAGGACACAGGAGGCCCAACCTAGGAGGCTTTCAGTCGGTCCAGATTGGCTTGCGGCGACCCCGTTCGTGATCAACGCTCATCAGTCAGGATCGAGGCTGCATTTGTTTTTCTGATTATGCCAGTGGCGTGGTATGGCCTGCTAGCCCTTCAGGGCCTGCTGGCTAGAGTTGGAGACTCCTACTACTACAGCTACTACTACGGGAGGAGATGCCAGTAAAGGAAGGACGAAGGCGTTGCCTCCTAAAGGATGTAGCTTTCTGTAGCCTTTACCAAACAACTACTGTTTGGTCTGGATAGACGGGATAGCGTTTGCTTGACCGCTGCTGCTGCTGTTGTCAAATTCTAGGACCAGTCAATTTGTCCCCATTGAGGAAGGCGCCGAGAGAAAATACGTTCCTTTATATAATAGTAGTAGTAGAAAGACTGACCGTGCCCTCTGCTAGCCCTATACTCAAACGTTTGCTTTTTTTGTAACCCTTTATTTTTTTGACATCCTTGTTATTATGTTTGTGGGAGCACACGCTTGCCATATCTTCTACATGACTGTTTCTGTTTGTTTTCAGCCAAAAAGAGCAACAAATACCGCTTTTTCTTCCAGAACTGCTGAATAAGTTCCCAGAAGTTATTCTATGAGTATGCTTTTATCGCATTGCACCTTCAACGGCTTTCACTCCGAAACCTGATTCATGGAAAGACATCTTCCTTAAAAGCGATGTTCACTCAAGATAAGTTATACGCTGTGTAACACCTTGCTGTACTGGCGAGTCAGGTTGGTTATTTGTTTGTGAATTTTCGATAAATGGTAAAAGTGTCTCTGCTGAAATATTTACGTTATTTGTGTGGTGGTGGGAGTTTATTAACTAGGATTAATGGGCCACCTGACGAATTAACTTGAGGTGGCTCTAGTTTAATTTATCAGGTTCAACAAAATATAATCTAATGTGGTCCTGCTCGAGGCATCTGTACTGGTCAAGATGCGATAGTACGTTCATCACGTCAAGTCATGATCGGGCTAGAACTGCTTATGGCTATCACGTAATTGAAGGACGAGTCGGGAGAGAAAGAGTACGCAGTCTTCTTGAAGGCTTTTAATGTAACACCTACATCGGTACTAGTAGTAGATTAAAGTACACCAACGAGTCAAACAATCGAGCAAGCACCCTTGTATGTTAACAGCATCTCGCCGTCGAACATCGGCCGTATTAGATCGGATTATTGTATAGGGTCTTTTATGTTTTATGCTATTTTCGATAAGACATTTTTTCAAACTATAGTCTTAGTCTCGAGAATATAGGGCTTCCTACGACTCTGTATCCCCTTTCTAAGTGTAATTCTAAGTGTACTGACTGCGTTTTCATTTGCGTAATATATTGCAGTATATTTTTCGGAAACTAACTATAGGAAGTTGTAACTTGTCTTTTTCCGACAATAAACTGGGATGCATTTTTATTATATTTGCCTTTCCCTGAATTATTCGCGAAGCATATGGATGCGCTACGGATTTTAAACCAGACCACCTTATTAAATCTAGATATTATTCCGTTGCGTTGAAATTATCAGCATCCGCAGCCGCGTCCTCTACTGTCAATTTACTCGACATACCCCTAGCTCACTGAAATGTTTTTCAATGTCCAACTTCTTCGGTATCGGTTGAAAAAAAGCAGGCGGCGAACACGAAAGCAATATGTTTTTGCCCGCAGAAGGCCTTACGCGACAACTAACAAGTTCAGGGGCACGCCGTAGCATAGTTAAGAGACACTAGAAAGCAGGTATAGGACTTGATAAAACATGTTGATAAGGGCATGTATGCATTACAGTTCCTACTTAGCAGCTATGTCGTGTCGCTTTTTGTTTCTTACCATTTACTATTTCTTCATTCCTTTCTCTCTAGAATTAGGTTAGTATTCCCCAGACGAAGAAACGTTTGGCAAGCGACCTTTTCGGTCACAGTGTTCGGTTTCTTGCAAAGCACGTCCCATGCTACCGCGGCACCAAATAAAAAGTAAGCGAACTCTGAGCCGGTTGCCTTCCGCGGGCACGAGTTGACAACGACGGTCGCCCTCGACTCCTTAACAGACCTGTGTTCGTTGAGCAAAGTAGACTTTGAACAGAAGCTGTCGTTTTGCTAAGAAAGTAACGTCATATCAGGTCGAAACGAGAGTTTCACTGAAGCCGGCAGATGGCGTCATATCTAGTTAAGCCCTCCCAGTGTTATCCCTAGTTTAGAACTTGGGTGCGTTGTTTTCATTAGTCGCTGTAAATGCCGATTGGACGCGTTCAATCATTGAGCTCAAGAAGACGTGTATCCGACATTGTCTTCTCCACTATTCGTGGTAGAATAGATGCTGTCGAAACTAAAAGAACTGTTTGCGATGTCGAACGTAAAGTTTCTGTGCCGCCACTACTTGCCAGTTCCGGCTGTTAACTCTTTATGTTGTTTAATTGGAGAATTTATCTTACACCTCAAATCCGTTCCCGAAGGCCACAAAAAGTAAACGACGACAAACTATGGGCACCTCATAAGCAAGATGTGATCCGAGAGCTGTTTACGCAGCTAAAGAGTGACCTAGATGACTGCCGTCAACTTTCTGCATGCACTTGGAGAGATCGGAAAGGAAGCAAATTGGATTTTCATGAATCCAGTAAAAATAACAACAAAAAAGAACCTGGTAATATACCTTTCGTTGTTCGCACAGCAGAAAAGAAGGTCTTTTGGGTAGAAAATCATTACCGGCGATGAGAGATTGATCTGCACAACATCTCTAAACGCAAATCAGCATATATACATATATAAATTCCTCGAGTCGGACACCGCAAAGAAATATCCATGGTCGAAAGCTGCACCTCTGTATACGGTGGAATTAGAAGGAAGTATTGTACTACAAGTTACTTAAAAAACAAAAAGAATTACAGAGGGCCGTTACGTAAATCAACGCATCCGTCTGAGCTATGAGATAGGCAAAAAGAAGCCTTGCTTGGTTGAACGCGACGCAAGGTGATACTGCTATATGCCAGCCTTACACTGAATGCTTTTTTGGTGA